CCCCCCCCCCCCCCGACCCAGGAGGGGCCTGGGGAGGACTAACAAACCCAAAACACCATCAAACAAGGGGCCCAAGGAGGGGCAGGGACCCAGGGGGACTTGGGCAGGGGGGTGTAGGGCCCCCCCCGGAGCTGGCACACACCCTAATAAAAGCATTTCTATTTGGTTTATCTTTATATGAGGTATATGGCAAGCTATCTCCTTGAGCAGTGGGGGGGGGCCGGCTTGGCCTCCCCTCCCCCCCCGCACCCCTCCGGACCCCTGGCAGGGCCCTGGCATGGGGCAAAATATTTGGTTTTGCAGTTTAAAGCTCTCAGTTTTATTTCTTTACACAGATCCCGGGTGCCCCGGGCCGGGAGGGGGAAGGGCTGGTGGGGGCCCACAGCTGTGGGAGAGAACCCAGGCATCCAGGCTCCCGGACCCCCACCGTGCCCCATACCTGGAGATAGGGTCATTTTTGGTCTAGAATCTTTTTTTTTGTTTTTTTTTTTTGTTTTGGTTTTCTGGGGGATGGGTTCTTTTTTTATTTTTTTTTCATTTTTAAACTTTTTTTGGTCTTTTTTGCCCCTTTTTATCATCCCCTTTTTTTGTCTCAAAGACTTTTTGCCCCCCACCCCCCTTTTTATACAGTAAGAAGCAAGAAGCCGCGGGGCACGCGGTCCAGCTAGAAACACCCCTCCACACTCCCCCATTATCCCCACACCCCCCTCCCCCCACCCCGAAAACAACCCCGAAACCGGAAAGGAAAAGCCAGTCACTCCGAGAAATACATTCAAAGGAGGGAACGTGGCCTGTGCTCCCCCTGGCCCCTGTTTTGGGGCCAAAAAGGGCAGTTTAGGGGCCCATGGTGGGAGGAGTGTTAGAAAAGGGTCCAGGAGAGGTCAAGGTCAACGCCCCCCCCCCGCCCCATGGCACCTCATGGCTGGACTTTGGTCAGCCACAGGGAGGAGAGATGAGGGTGGGGCATGAGTCCGGGGTCTCCAAGCGCCGGGAAGGGGGTTTAAAGCTCTGAGGTCAGGGGAGGAGGGGCCCGGACGCCTGGGTCCATCAGCCCCTGCACCCCACCCCCGGCGTGGGGTCCATTTGGTTTCCAGTGGAGGTGGCAGCGGTCTCAGCCCCTCCATGAGGTATATTTGGCAAGACAGAGAGAGCGCGGGCGCCGCGACGCCCCCCCCAGCGCCCAGCCTCCGGCTCCCATGGTCCTTTGTTCCTTATTCTTGGGGGTCTTTTTGGTTTGAGGATCCCCCCGGTTCCGGGGGGAGGGGGCACAGAGGGGCCTGGAGCTGGAGCCCAGAGCCTGGAGGAGGAGGTTGGCCCCTGGCTGCATGCGGGGGGGAGGGGGGAGTCAAAAAGGGCTCCTAAATCCTCTCCCCGGCCCTTGCACAGTGCATGGATCGAACCCCCCACCCCGTGCTAACTCAGACTAGATCGCCTCCCTCCGGCAGGATCAGGGCCATGGAGCTAGGCAGAGAAGTCTGTACAAAACCTTTGGGTGCAGCTGTGGGGGGGAGGGGGGGAAGGTGGTGCCTAAGCTTGACCCTTGACCCCTGACCCTGACCTTCCGGGAGGGGCTCTGGGCACTGTCATCAGCTCAGGGCTCCAGGTTGGGGGCTCTGGTCCCTACCACAGGCTTGGGGCTCCATGTCGACTCCGTGTTGGGGGGTTGGGACCCCATGTTGGCTTCGCGTCGGGGGTCCCGGTCCCTACCACAGGCTCAGGGCCCCGTGTCAGCTCCTTGTCGGCTCCATGTCCCTCCTTTGGGTCTGGTTTTTTTTTTTTGTCTTTTTGTTTCTTTTTGGTTGCGTGTTTCTTTTTGGTCGGTGTCTGGGCGTCCGCGTGTCCGTCTGGGGCGCCCCACCCCCCGGCCGCTCACTCCATGGGGGCATCTGGGTCGGGGTCGTGGCCGGCGTCGCAGGACGAGCAGGACGAGGAGGAGGAAGAGGAGGACGAGGAGGAGGAAGAGGAGGAGGACGGGCGCCCGGGGGACTTGCCCAGCAGGCCAGGGGGGCCAGGAGGTGCCGGCACCAGCCCCACACCGCCCGGCGGCGGGGCCAGCAGCGGCAGCCCCGCGTGGTTCAGGACCCCGCCCCCCTCCAGGCTGCTAAGCGACAGGCTGCCACCAGTGGCCAAGGCTGGAGAGGAGAAAGTGGGGGGAGAGGGGTGAGAGGGAGCCAGGATCGGGCTCTGATTGGGGCCCCCCTACGCCCTGCTGGCCCCCCCAAGCCCCTTCTCCCACTCTCTATGGGGTAACCCCAGGATAAGGCCCAGATTGGGGCCCCTGCTGATACCCCAGGATTGGGCCTGGATTGAGGCCCCCCCCCTCCATCCATCCTCTACCCTCTATAGGGTACCCCAGGATCAGGCCTGGATCAGGGCCCCTCTACACCCTGCTTATACTTCAGGATCAGGCCCAGATTCAATGCCCCCCCAGTCCATCCTCCACCCCTATGGGGTACCCCAGGATCAGGCTGGGATCAGGGCCCCCCTAACTCCTGCTTGTACCCCAGAATCAAGCCAAAATCAGGCCGCCCCCCCCAGCCCACCCTGTACCTACTAAGGACATCCCAGGACTGGGGCCAGATTCGGGCCCACCCCCTGCAGGTACCTGAGAATCCGGCCCAGATCAGGACCATACTCCCCTCTGCCAGTACTCTGGGATCAAGCCCAGATCGGAGCCCTTCTACCCCCCACAGGTACCCCCGGATCAGATCCAGATTGGGGCTCCTCTACCCCTGCAGGTACCCCAGAATCGGGCCCAGATTGGGGCCCCTCTACCCCACTGTCAATACCCCAGGATCAGGCCCGGATCAGGGCCCCCCTACCCCTGCCGATACCCCAGGACTGGGCCCAGATCGGGGCCCCCACGCACGACATAGAACAGACACATGGGGGAGTAAGCGTGCAATGAGTGTGTGATGAACGCTGGTGACAGACGTGTCACATGAGGCCACAGATGCGATGGGGGGGCCCAGACGGGGATGAACGGGGGCGTCTGGGGGGCATTGGCCGGCCGGGCCCTCACACACTCAAGAGCCCCTTGCACACTCGCTTGTTTGCATGTCTCCTCATGCCCACATGCATTTCCTTCCGCACCCACAGGTGTGCGCTCCCCACACACACACGCCCACTCATGCTCTCTCACCAGTTCGCTCATGCTCCCCCGCCCTCACTGTCGCTACCTGGCATGCAAGCTCAGTCACATGCTGGCTTGCTCTCCCTTGCATGTGTGCTCACTTTCCTGCATGGGTGCTCACACTTCCTGGCATGCAAACTCCCACTTCCTTGCATATTTGCTCACACTTGCTTACACTTCCTTGCACACTTCCACTTCTTCATACACTCATTCACACCTCCCTATAGGCTTGCTCACTTCCTTGCACATTTATTCACACTTCCCCACATACTAAACTTCCTTACACTCTTGCTCACACTTCCTGACATGCTCACTCATACTTCCTGGCACACTTGTTCACACTTCCCCAAAGATTTGCTCACTTCCTAGCACACTTGTTCACTTGCTTCCCCAAAAGCATGTTTGTTCATGCTTCCCCTCACACTTGCTCACATTTCCTCACACACTTACTATCCCCACCTGCTTGCTCACACTTCTCCAGATTTGCTCACTTTCTTGCATACCTGTTCCATTCCTCGCATACTTGTTCAACTTCCCAGCATGCTCACTCCCACTTCCCCATAGACTTGCTCACTTCCTTGCATGTTTGCTCCCACTTCCCTGCACACATACTCACACTTATTTTCACACTCATTCATGCTTCTGCTCCCACTTCCTTGCACACTCACGCTTCCTCTCTTTCTTGCTCCCTGTCCTGTGCACGCTCACTTGTGCTTCCCCACACACTCCCATTTCCCCATAGGCTTGCTCACCTCCTTGCACACCTGTCCACTTCCTTGCAAGCTCACTCTCACTTCTCCACATGCATGCTCTTGCTTACTTGCACATTCATTCATGCATCTGCTCACACTTCTTTGCACGCTCGCTTATGCTTCCCCACACAATCACTCCCCATCCCCACACACTTGCTCCCCGTGCAAGGCCAGGCCAGGGGGGTGGCAGTGATGAGCCCGTGCACACGCACCTTGGATGGTGGCCAGTGGGTTGGTGGCCATGAGGGCCGGGTTTAACCCCGTGTTGACCCCCAGCACCGAGCTTCTGCAAGTGAAACCAGATGCGGCTCATTAACCCCCCTAACGACGCGCCCCCCCTCCCCTCATCCCACCCCCCCAGCCTCCCCGATACTTACCCCGAGCC